TTCCCCTCTATGGCACGGAAGGAGCTTCATTGGGTCAGGCCATGTATCCGCCTCCCCCCTTGACTGCCTTTTTTTGGGGACGTGGCCCAGGGCTCCTCTGAGGGCACCCCCTGCCAGCGCTATGGGGGGCTGCAAGGGGCCCCTCTTTCTTTTTTCTTTCATTCCTCTCTCCCCATCTATTTCCTTTCTTTCCATTTCTCCCCTTCCTTTCTTCCACTCCTCTCTCCCCATCTATTTGCTTTCTTACCACCTCTCCTCTTTCTTTTTCTTTCTCTGTCTTTTAAAAAACACTGGCTTGTTCACAACTTTACTCCTAGTAGGTCTTTTGGCTCACAAGACTCTGCAGCTTAGAGGGAACATTGGTTGCCAGTGCTACCCAATGAGACTGAGGCCATTCCCACATGGGTTATCTGCCCTGGGTTCAATGCTGTTAAGAAACAAGGTGCATTAATGCACTTCCTGGGGTTTCTGCAGCTTTTCCACAATCTTTCTCAGATCTGCTTTACTGAGACGTTTTGGGAAAGATTACAGTAAACTTTGGATGACGGCCATGTGGATGGAAAAGTATGGATTTTCCCACCCACATGACAGTCAGTTTCCCAGCAGAACTCATTTCTTCTCTTAACCACCAGAGGGCTTTCAAATATAAATAACTGAATATTTTATTAGAATCAGGTGGGGAGCCATGTTGGTCTGAAGTGACAGAACAAAGTTTGAGTCCAATAGTATAAGACCAACAGAGTTTTATTCATGGTACAAGCTTTTGTTTTTGTTCTGAAGAAGTGTACATGCACAAAAGCTAATACCTTGAATAAAACTTTGTTGGTCTTAAAAGTGCCACTGAAAATTTGTTCTTGATATTGTATTGATATACGGTTGTAACAGGTGGATAAAATCAATGATTTTTTTTTTTAAAAAACTACAAATCAGATTTTAAAAAATTTAAATAGGTTTTTTTAATTTAAATCAGATTTTTAAATAGAATGCTTTTTGAGGAAAATAGTTTTCTATTTAAGATGTATTATAGTACAAAGGTTACCATTATCAAATATGGATTAGTTTTTAATTATGTAGCATGAGCCTGTATATTCATGCAATCTTTAATTTTTTCAGTAAATGAATTAATCCATTCACAATGTCATGCTCTCCCAGAGGTTTCTGTAAGATTATTTTGGGTAATTTTTCTACCTAGAAGATATTATCACAGATGTTTGGTTCTGCAGTTCTCAAAATTGTGAATTTGTGTCTGCAGAGATAACATATCTCTTCTTCACAGCAAAAAAATATAAAATAAACATATTGAGTTGAGACCTCAATTCAATTGGTCCTCCGCAAATATCTGCACACAGAAGCAACTCCTTATCTCTTAAGTGCTAAGTTTTAAGAAGTTCAATGAATATAAGATTGGTTGAGATGGAATCTATCTGGATGATTTGTTAAGAGCTAAATGTGAGGAAGAATGAGCAAGCAGTACAAATGAAAGTGAAACTTTTTGAACAGAATACTCCAGAAATCTTGAGATCTTTGTGAATGTATCCTCATGGCTGTTTAAGTAAATACAAGAATATATATGCTATATAATGTTGTTTTAGTTAAATAAAACAATGTAAATGGTTATTGTTAATGATTTTTTTCTCCTTCTAGTAAAATACAGCAGAAAAGCTGTCCAAATATGAATAATTAACCTATTAAACCAGAGATACTTTACCTTGCAGTGATTTCATAGTTATCTATTTCAAGTGTAAATAACCAATCACTGATTTTCTCATATAACTAAAACCAACCTGAAAAGTTATTATACTAGAATGAAACCTTCATCTGGGTTGTAAATATTAAGGTCAGCAAGAATGAGCCTTTATGTAGAAAACCATGATTTAAATAGTCTTACTGACTAGGGATTTAAATAGTGATTTAAATCAAATCCACCCTGTTAACACATTATCTGAACTCTCCGCTTTAATTTTTTTTAAAAGCCTCTAGCTCCTTCCGTTGTGGTGATGTATGGGGGAAAGCATATCCCCGCTGCAGAAGTGGATACTTTTTGAAAAAAGTTGAGAATTCAGAGAACCATATACTGTTAAACAGCTCATCAATATGATGACATTCAGTTGCCAATTAAAAAAAACCTCTAACAAAGCACAAGTGGCCTGGAGGATGGCTGTTACTAAGGTCCAGAGCAGGGAAACCCGCCATGTGGAAGCCTCACTCCTGTTGCGCTGTTATCAGCAGCAAACCAGCAACAGGGAAACTGCGCAAACCTTTGCCCCGATGGAAACCACCTGAGTTATTTTTACCGAAATAATACATTCTTTTATTACAGATTTGTTTTCTTTTTTCAACTTTTATATTTTTCCTCCTGCCTCTCATGTGGCAGAAATGAAGATATGTATGCTATGGTAGCATAGGGTTACATCAAGTTGCAACTTTTCCTCAAGTACAGGATATGATTGTGGTTTTTCTCATAGAAAAAGTCATTTATACTTTTAAGCTCCATAAATATGCTAAACAGCACAACTGTATATGCTAAGTTATATATGATGCATTTTATGTAGTTAAATCAGTAGTAGTAGTAGTAGTTTAGGTTTGACAGGGAAGGAAGCATTGCTTACTTTTTAACTTTCCCCAATTTTTTCTTCAAACTCCCTCCCCCACTGTTTCTACTACGACTTAAAAATGTCTGAAAATTTTGCATCTCAGCATCTTTGTATGTTTATATAATAGTGTTTATCACTGGCAGGAACCATCAAAGCAGGAAATGAGGGATCGTTGGTAAATAACTACAAGAATACAGAAACCTTTATGCCAATACGTTCTTATATATACTTTGGCCATGTCATGTTGATTGCTTGTTGCATTGATGGGGTTCACTATATAACTCAGGGAAACACTGAGCAATTTTATTCTATTTTCTAAAAAGAAACAAGGATAAGGATATTTTATTGTATTACAAGTCAGGTATGTTTTTCCACAACAGCATCATGCACAGGCTTCTATACAGGCCACATAATTCAACATCTTGACATCCTTACAAACACCTGACATATAAAATATGTCACATTTCCCGCTGCCATTTTCTTTAGCAGAAAGTTTCCGTGACCTGAGAGATGCTTGCTTGTAGCCCTCACTATACAGAACTCAAGTTACTTGGAAACAGATGGGGGTAATTAAAAAAGAACAGAAGACAAAAACATTACATTAAACCAATCTTTATTGTAGAATCAGAAAGAAGAAACAAATATAATGCTATCCAGCAGTAGCAACTTTTGCCTTTGATACTGAGATGTGAATTTCAACATTAATAACATTAATAACTAAGCAATTTCAATATTTGGGAAAAACACAACACTGATATTTGAAAGTCAATAAAGTTAAAAGTTATAGAATTACCAAAGTCTCATAGGGGAGCTGTGTTGGTCTGCAGCAGAACAGCTAGATCAAAGACCAGCAGCATCTTACAGACCAACAAGATTTTCAGGGTATAAACTAAGGAGGCTTTGACTCTTGAAAGCTTATATCCCAAAAATCTTGTTGGTCTCTATCTAGCAGAATTATTAAAGGAAGATCAAATCTTTTTTCAGGTCATTCCATAAACAAAGTTTCTATTATAGTTACTGCTAGTCTTTCAGAAATGACTTCAAATGTGTACCCTATGCAAGCAATGGTTATTAATCAAATGGAAATCATGAAATTTGTGAAGAATACTCTCAGAAGACGTTATTGTAAGCTACAGGGAACTGAACGTTGAGACCAATAATTCAGTGAACACACAGATATAAAATTTAATGGAATAATTTGGTGAAACAAACATTTTTGAAGACAGAAGTCACACCTCAATGTACACTATGTCCAAATTATGTAAAATGGCACACACTTCCTTTATTTGCCTATTTAGAATATTTTTCTGCTGTCTTTCCAAAGTCCAGGTCTAGACAATTTACAATTAAAAACCACATAATTTTTAAAAAGTCCATAATAGCAGAGCAGTCAAAATCTAAGATAAAACCCTGAATTAAGAGCCTTGGTTAGTAGATGTGTTTTAGCCTGGCGACTTGACTTAAAGAAAGTAGGTGCCAAGCAGTCTCAAGAGAGAGGGCATTTCAAAGGAAAAGTGCCACCACAGAAAATACCCTATTTCTGGTCCTGCCTCACCTCTGAAGGTGGAGGCACAAAAATCGAGGCTTGAAAGGCAGATCTAACTGATGTACTGGAGAGTATGGGAGTAGATGGTCCTTCAGGCACCATGGCACCAATCCAGTTAGGGCCTTAAAGACACTTTGAATTGAGCCCAGAACCAGATGGGTAACCAGTGCAGACCTTTTAGCACAGGGGTGATATGATCCCTGTAACCAACTCTTGACAGAGTGATCTCTACATTTGGGACCAACTGAATTTTCTGAACCACTGTCAAAAGTAGCCCCACGTAGAGTGCATTACAATAATGTAACTTGGATGTGATCAGAGCATAGAGTACTGTCGCCAGATCATGCTTTTGGAGGAATGGTTGTAGCTGGCAAACCAGCTGGAACTAATAAACTGAGCCCATTTGTAGGAATATGGTGGGGTATAAATTGAATAATAATAATAAGGCACTGTATGCCACAGAAGAGACCTGAGCCTCCAACTACAGGCCAGGATCCAGTAGCACCTCCAAGCTACAAATATGCTCTTTCAGTGAGAATGCTACCCACTCCAGGAAAAACTGGCTCTGTAATCACCAAGCTGACCAACAGCACCTCAGTCTTGTCTGTACTGAGCTTCAGTCCATCAGCCCTCTTCCATCGCATTACCTACTCCAGGAACCTGTTCAGGACTTCCACAGACCTACCTGGCTTAGCAGAAAGAGAGCTGGGTTGCATCCACAGTGGTGGCATCCCACCCCAAATCCCTAGATGACCTCTCCCAGCTATTTCATGTAGGTTATAAATAGCATGGGGGATAAGATGGGAACCTGCTGGATCCCAAAGCATCAATGCCAAAGGGCCAAGCAACAGTCCCCCAACACCACCTTCTGGAATCAGTTGGTCAAATAAGAGCTGAACCACCATAAAAAGGTGCCCCATACTCCCATCCAGCCTCTCTGGAAGGATACCATGGTAAATGGCACTGAAAGCCACCAAGAAGTCCAGGAGAATCAACAGGGATGCATTTCCCATCACTCTCCTGGCGAAGGACAGCAGTCAGGGCAACTAAGGCTGTTTCCATTCCAAAATCAAGCCTGAATCCAGACTGAAATAGGTCCAGATAATCTGAAGTTGTGTTGCCACCACACACTCAAGCGTCTTGGCCAAGTATAGAGTATTAGCCACTGGGCATTCCATGTTTTGGTCATTTGGGTACAGGATGCCATTTTGATACAAATCCCTTTCTAGTAGGTGAGTTTAAGCCTTCATATTCAGCATCAACTTGCAAAAAAGTAACAAATAAACAAGAAATTGGTACAATTCACTTGTGAAAAGAGACACAGAAATGAGTAATAAATCATTTTTATTGGACTGATTTGCAAGAATACAAATTAAGCAATGTGGTAGGTACATTCTTCACACTATACAAAGAGTTTGTTGAGACTTATTTCAGGATACAGACAAAAAGTATGTTTTGTATATAGTCACATTGTCTTCGAAATCTCAAACTGTGGGATTAGCAAGATACCAACGCCCTCAACAGTTAGTGAAATAAAGTGTAAAAATGAGGTAATATACCAAGAAGTTGCCAACATTTACATTACAGAACTAACTGTGGTCCACAAAAAAAAAAGTTGAAGGCTAGACTTGGAAAATTTGGAGAATCTATTGTACTCACCTAGTTTTTTTCCAGGAAGTAAAAAAAGTATGACAGTAGCAATATGCAGCAGAAAGTCCAAAAACATACAAGTAATTTAATAACCCACAAGATTTAATTTAATAACCCACAAAAAGTCATATTAAATTTTTGATTGTGCGTGTGGAAAATCAAGTTTTGTCTACTACATTAGGTAAAGGTTTACTTTTAAAAATGGATTCAAATTCATGTGCCTTTTGGAATCATGGTATTTCTATCATATATTCTAATAGCCAACAGAGGGCGCCGTGCGGATACTTAGACTGAGGGAAAGAAAGCTCCGTGGGCCTCAGAAGCTTCTCCTACATACCCAGCATGCTTCCATTATGTGCACAAAAATCGAAAAAGTGAGAAAATCGCTCCAGGGATGACTGAATTCCCCCTAAAACCCTTTGGGCTCTGCTTCAGACACCAAAGGTGAGAGAGAGGTTAGAACGTTCAGGGGGGGGAAGAGGCTTCTAACTGCTCTGTGAGTCAAAGGGTGTGGGGGAAGGGCCCTTTTCCAGGCCTCCATTGGCCTTTCAGGGAGGGAGGGAGCCTTGGGGCCTGGCCTGGGGAGTCCCTAGAGGTTTTGAGGTGGGATTGGGGAAGGGAGAGGTCTCAGCCGGGTATAATGCCACAGAGTCCACCTTTTAAAACAATCATTTTCTCCAGGGAGTCACAGATCTCTGCTGCCTTGAGTTCAGTTGTAAGTCTGGGGGGGGGTTAGGGGCTCAGGGTGGTTCACAACAATTTGGTTCAATACAATGTAAAATAAGTTAAAACCATAAAATATTCAGAACATTTCAGCATCTTAAAAACAAGATGGCAGTGCTAGCATTCAGTCATTGGGGTGTGTGTGTGTGTGTGTGTGCCAGGCAGATATAAAGAACTGTTGCTGTCCTCAACCGAAGGCCTGGAAGAACATCTCTGCCTTACATGCCCTGCGTAACTTTAATAGATCAGACAAGGCCCTGGCCCAGGCCAGCCAGATTTTGGGCCAGGGACCACCAGAACAGTGTTCCCTCTAAGCTGAGTTAGTATGAGCTGGCTTACAGTTTTTTAGCCTCCAGCTCACACATTTTTTTCTTAGCTCAGGAGGGATGGCTCCAGAGCAAACTAATTTACGCAGTAGCCAAATCACTTGCTTGCAATGCCAGTGGCTCACAAAGTAGAATTTTTGCTCACAAGACTCCACAGCTTAGAGGGAGCATTGCACCAGAAGGTTCTTCGGAGGACATACTGGGAGAGGCAATCTGCAACATTTCTCACAATAGAAAGGCACTTTTGACTTGTGGGCTCTGGTCAAATCGGTTTCACAGGTTTTTGGCACTCTTCAGGCTGAATGGGGGAGAAATCCAATTCCTCTACTCAGAATGGAGATAAAGGCAGATTCTGTATAGCTACAGCAAGCAGCTAATAAATTCATGCCATCACTGGAATGAAGTAACATATTTTCATAATCTGTAGAGTTGTGTTGCAACCATTGGAAAATTTTTATGATTTTTTTCAAAGTGTAAAAGGAATTTTAATGTCTGTTTTAAAAAACAAAAACCATGCAAGAACTAGCTGATTTCCACATTGCAATGTGATACCATTTAAATATTACTTATATTTTAAAGACTTTTTCATGTTAACATTGGAGCTACCAATGCATGTTTTAAAGATATTTTAAAAGCAAAAAGGCAGTGAAGCTTCCGTTCTCATAATACATGTTGGACTATCTATTAAAACTAGACTGGGGATTATCTATTAAAGCTAGACTGGGGCTAAATAATAAACAGGAAATCACACTGGAAACTAAAAAAATTCTTAACAAGTTTCTAAATTGAGACATCATGCCAAACCATAGTTGCACTAAACCATAATACTTCTCTAAACCATCATTTGAGCTTCCTGATATACAACAGGAAACTCATGGTTCAGAATTGCTTGGCAGCTTTATTCTCAGCACTATGTTTAAGTTTATGTTCATAATGCAGCAGCCTCTGGAGGCAGAGCTATGGCCACAGTTAATGTGTCCAAGTCAAGGCTTTATGTCAAACTATTGTTTGAAACTACCATTTTGAAACAGTGTGTGTGCCTCAAGTTCACTTTTTGTGGAATGTGGGTACCACCCATAAATGTTGCATTACCTTCATCTCTCACACTGCTGTGAATAGAAATCATATACAGTAGTCCTAGTTTTGTTTTAGTTAAAGACCATTAGTCATATTTAATCATTGCTGGCTGGCCCCAGAGATGCATTCAAATCCCCATGCGTGTCAAAAGATAAATCCTGCTGATTCTCATTCAGCTCTTCATGTTACATGCATCTATCTTCCTTAGTGGACCTAGTCAAGTGGAATCAGAGTGACCTTTTTGATGTGTCTTCTAAGTCTTAATTATGCAGCCTAAAATAATGCCAATCCTGAACACTGCCTTTTTAATTCTATGCCTTATGTATTGTCCCACATAGAGTAACTGAATTAACTCTCCCTTTTTATTCTCCTTCCACAGAATTCCCTTCCTTAACCATAGGGGTTTTACTTTGATTTATTCCTATGATGCAGTGAGCCAAACTATCAGAAAAATGTTTTGAGAAAAGAAGTGACTAGTCCAATATTTTTCAGCTAGAACTGAACCTGAAATCTCTTGATTGCCTTGAGCATTAAATGGTTCAGTGATCAAGCATTAAAGTGGCTCTGCCGTGAATAGTAACCGCCTTTTTGATCCAAGACAGGGGTATGGGAGAAAAAGCAACTAACGATGAAAATATGGAAGAAAAGGCTCTGAGATTTTGTAGTTCTCTTGCATTTCTCTTGACCTCAGGTACAAACAGTATTTCCTCTGCTTGCATGAGGAAAGCTAAAACCTGTATTTAAAGGTCATTATGAAATTTCTTGAACTGTACACTCTTGGTTATTATCTGATGTTCACTCATATAGTCGAATAGTTCAGATGAGGTCCTACTAAAAGAATGCAAGGCCATCAAGAAGAAGGTGACAGTCAACACAAGACCTACAACCATACTGTATTCTTTTATCAGCCCAGTCTCAGAATGGATTTATGAATAGATCCTGGATGGCCCTTTTGTTCCCAGCCTTGTTTAAAAAATAAAACTTGCATTCAGGATTGTATCAGTTTATTCATAAAAATTACTAAATTAACTGCTGGCCACAGATTTATTTAACTTATGGATCATCCAGTCCCTGCTGGTGCAGGGCTCTGGGCAGTGTACATAATAAAACAACGATACAAAAGAATATTTAAATAGCATTAAAACAACAACCTAAAAGATTCAAATGGTGGATTCCAATTATTTCCAGTTTCAGACTATCGAACACTTCGCAGGTGGGGGAGGGAGGATAGGGAGAACACAGAGAACAGAAGCAGGTGCCACTCAAGATGGTAACCATCGCTGTCCTCAACCACCAAAAGCCTGACAGAACATCTATGCCTTACAG